TTCTCTTTTACAGAAACACAGAAGTTCGGAGGTAGAAGAAACATAAAAATGTTAAAGGCCTTCTTGTGGATTATATAAAACTTAAGTAGGAAGAATAGCACTATATCCTAAGTTCTCTGAGGTGCAATTAAGTTTTCTTATCTCCAGCTAACAAAGAAAGACCAATAAAAGCACCACACAATTACTAAATACGTGAATCGCTAAATATTCTATTTTTTTCATTATCTGAAAAAGTATCTCTGCCTAGTAGGAATACCACTAAGAAAAAAAAATGCAAAGATATAAAGTATAGCACTTCTGTCGGAGATTTTATTTCATTAATTGAATAAAAATATATTGAATTCCAACTAGGTGCCTAGGTCTGTAATTGGCACTGGGGCAGCCTCTGTAACTAAGGTATTGGCTCTATCATTACTCAAACAAGTAACTATTAGCTCAGTGAAAAAATGAATTCATAACATAATGTAATGCATGCACTGTAGAGGCATACCTAACAGAACAAATGAAGCTTTTCCATTTGGTTTACACATAACACTTAAAACAATTGGTGCATGGATTTTTATGTTGGTATTTGTTTTCTTTGTGTATTTGGAGAATACAAAAACATGGTCTCTGTTTTCATGACTTCTACTCTATCTATACCGGCAATCTTCCACCAAATCTCAATTTATGGTTTCACTGCTGGCTACCGTATAATTCTTCTTTGCTAGCATCATTGTTCCTTATAATTTCTTTATATATCTTTATCATGTGTTCTTTCTAGTTCTACATCCTGCTCTTTATTCCCCGTTTTCCAGTTCTAACTTTTTTAAAAGTCTCTATTGAAAATGTATTCCTTTGGGAGGCCGAGGCGGGTGGATCACGAGGTTAAGAGATCCAGACCATCCTGGTCAACATGGTGAAACCCCGACTCTACTAAAAATACAAAAAAAATAGCTGGGCATGGTGGCGCGTGCCTGTAATCCCAGCTACTCAGGAGGCTGAGGCAGGAGAATTGCCTGAACCCAGGAGGTGGAGGTTGCAGTGAGCCGAGATCGCGCCATTGCATTCCAGCCTGGGTGACAAGAATGAAACTCTGCCTCAAAAGGAAAAAGAAAATGTATTCCTCTTGGTTCACATTTTCCCTTTGATATGTCCTATTTATTATTTTTGATGGCTCTGTTATACTGTGTGCTATGTAAAATATAAAAGGGGTTAAGTGTGAAGATGACTATTGGATTTAGGTGTACCTGCCACATGCAGTAAGAATAAAGGCCGGATTACCGAACTGAGCATGTCTTTTACTTCTTTAGGTTCAGTTAGTGTATCAGAGGCTGGGCAATGTATTTTCAGCTCTTCAGTAGCCGCTTTGCTGCTCAACATTCGAGATGTTCAGGGGCAAAAATATCTAAAAGTTCTTTATAAATTTTTCTCAGTTTACTTTCTACTCTTGGTAAGCTCAAAATCATTAAGGGACATGAATGAAATGTTAGCTCAGTCATTTCTTTCTGAAAGCAAGAAGAAAATCTAATAAGGAGTTCTAAAATGAATTTATTAAACTTTCAGTACAAAAAAACATCTTTTGAAAAATGTTCTGGGACATGTTAGAATTTTTGACAGATATAATCATGTTTAACAAACTAGTGAAGCTCATGGACATATACAGAAAATGAAATGCAGCACTGAATGAGAAAATAAAGCTATACTTTCCCTGATAACTAATCAAAGATCCTAGTATTAAATTTTACTTGGTAAACATTTTCTTATTTTTATAGAAATAACATGACAAATTTAATATTAGATATTTTTCTTCTTTCACAAAAAACTATGCTTTCTGGTTTATGACAAAACGTGGTAAAAGCTGTTCTTTTTGTTAATTGCATCTCTTTGAGATTTAAGGTTTCTGCATTTTATATAAATACAAGAATGGAAATACTTTCATAGAACACATATTCTAAATTCTCTTTATGAGTTTTTGTACTTCTGCGAGTATTTTCATGGGCAATGCAATTATAAAAATGACTGTTTTCCTGTTGGTGCAAAGAACACAAGCTTGTTTTTAGGTTCATGATAAAAATTTATCACTAAACATTTTTGTCAATATGTGAGGTCATATTATCTGTAAGCATGATTTTTCACAGAAACACAATTCTAGCAAGGGTACATTAAGAAAATGATTTTTAAATGTAATTTCTGAAAGCAATTTTCTAGTAACAGAAGTATTAAATGCTGGGAGGAAAATGACTCAAAGGGGCATCTTGAAATATACTTTAAGGTGCCAATTCTGGCTCATGACTTCAGAAGCATCAGATGTGCTTGAAACGTATTTTCCCAAGTTCTTTAATATACTTGAAATAACTCTAAGCATTAAAATACGTTATTAACACTTAGAGTGCTAAGAATCCCTCCACTTACCACATTTTACTTTTTTTCTTGCTACATTTTTCTGGAGATTATACAGAATATTATCAACTGGAAGATTTCTGAAACCAATGCTTTACGTCACTTAAATATTTTAAATAGTCTGCCTAAAATGCGTATTTTTATTAACATTGTGTCTGCATCATATCTTAACATCTTACATATATATTCTTGTATTTTTTATTAAAAGTTGTTTGTTCCAGAAACCCTAAATTTTTTAAATGTATGGCTATTAAGCAAATAGTTGAGAACCGGAATAATCATGGATGTAAATATAAACTTTTTCTTAGAAGTGTGTATTATGTATTTTTCTAAAATCTATCTGTATAAATGAAGAAAGTTGGGATAAATTAATATGTATTATATAAAGTCAAGAGTGTTACAGTTTGTGTACATTGCAATAGTAGTTAACAGTGAATTAAAATGCTTTTTTAAAAGATGTAGGTTTTTGGCATTTGAGAATTGTGTTAGCATAGTGTGTTGCTGTTTCAAATGCAAATAAAACATACATTTTAAATCATACGTAATTACACTATTAAAAATACAAACATGCAATTTACATGTGTATTTTTAATAGTGTAATTACATCTGCAAATTTTACGTAAGTGATAAGATTTAGAAATGGTTGCCATTCTTTCAAGATAGATCATTAGACTGACATATTAAAGCCTCTTAAATTTGACAGGGAAGCAATGGCAATACAGACATTCACTGCTAGTGTTGCTATCAGCAAAGGGATGAAATACGAGAAAACTGTATTTTAGATGTGTTGCACTTTTGTAAAATGAGTTAATATATGCCAATATTGTTTTCATTTATTTCTCCAAATTCAAACTGAATAGTCATGTCATTGGGAACCTCAGTAACCCTGGAATTCCATCATGATGAGGCTGTGTGTGTGAAGTCATACATGTCACACATAAGAATCACAAATCTCCGTTCGTTTTTATCTGGGTCTCAGATAAACTACTTACTCTCTTTGGGTATACATGCCCATACTATAAAGAATAAATATGCCTATTATTTAGAGGTGTTTTGAATGTTAGTTGAGATATTATATGCAAAGTGTCAAAAGCTGTGACTCACATTATAAACACTAAGTAAGCAGCAGTTATGTGAATTATAAGAGAACGGGGAGGAGGGCTAAAAGCAGTATTTTAATAGGTTGATTCAATATATTATTTATTGCTTTTTCATTTCTATTAGGTAATTAATTTTGTTAGTCTCTATTGTGAAAGGGGTGAAACATATTCACTCATTCGAGTCTTTTAAACTCTCAGTTATGTGCTAAACTCTATAGGAAGTAAGAAGAAAACACGTTTCTGTCTTTAAGAATACTGCCTGCTCATAAGGAAGCAGTCAAGTAGTTGAGAATCCAACAACAACATCTCAAAAATAGTGAGTGGCAATTTCTGTGGTGTTTTCAGGAGATACAATAGGAGGCTGGAGAAAGAAGAATTTTGAGTATACTCCAAGAATTCAGAAACACTTACTGAGCTAGGACACAGAGAATGAGTGAAATCTAAGTAGGTGGAATGGAAAATGAAGTTATTCTGAAAGGAAATTGCAGGAAAGAAAGGTTATATAGACTTTGAAAGCAGATTGGAACTAGGTGTGCCTTCTGTCTTATTCATTTAATAGCTGCAATATCTGGACTATTGCTTAAAATCGAGTTTTATTAAAATGGCATGAGGATAATAACACTGTGTAACAGTATCCAATGCTGTTTCCACTACGGGGCAAGGATTCAGAAACACTGCGAACACAGAAGCAAACAACGTGGCCACAGCGGAAACTGATATAATGGAAGGTGTATCGTTGAGGGCTAATGTGGCCCCTTGTCCTGCTTGCTGGTATAAGACTCAATGAGCCCACGGTTCATTTTGTTACTTTCAGGATGCGTTTGTCACAATATAGGTTGCAATTAATAACGAATATAGGGAGAGCCTCGGTGCGGATCTACAAAGAGAGGCACGGCAGGTCGGGGTGGGGGCTCTTCTGTTCCTTTTCATTTGTATCTTTATTAAAAAATCTTTTACATTGCTCGAGTTGTTGATTTGTTAGGGAATCCAGGAGAAAGCAATTTAAGCTAAATCTGAGTCAATTATTAAGAATCTTCTTGGCCTGGTTAGCTAACTTATCACGTCAGCAAAAGCAAGAGAGAGTTCTTGTTTTTTGTGGGGAACTTAGAAAAAATAAACACGAGAACTAATGCACGTACGTGCACACACACAGACACACACACACACACATAAACATACATTACACTACACTCAAACAAAATCTTCCAGGCTTCCTAAAATGAGTCAGAATAAGCAAAAACGGCGCAACACTGAAACACTGGGAAATTACTTTGTGTCTCTTTGGTTGACTGGGGAAGGACATATATTGGAACCTGCCTGAGCTGTCAGCCGCAGGACCCCAAGAGGTGACAGCTGAAAAAGAAAGAAATGAGAAGCTCACCACAGGTAGCTCCCCTTCCCACTCCAACACAACAAAAACAAGGTAGACACTCAGAGAGGAGACAGCATGCAGCAGCAGGTCTCTGATAAAAAAAGGGCTGATTACAAAGTGCTTTCAAGGCAAGTTGCTGGCCTTACCTGTGTCACTTGAGCCTGAAGCCACGGAACGACTTCCTTCCACAGCCTGCCGCCCTGGTTGAGTGCGCTGGCTTCCTGGCCTTCTGGGTCTCAGGTCGAGGGGCTGATTGCAGAAGGAAAACAGCTGAGTCTGTGACTAGCCCCAATCACATTCTACAAAATGAACGTGTGCCTAACTACCCAGTGAAACTAGTGAAACACTTTATCTGTACAGTTTCATTTGTTTTTAAATTTTATAAAACTTATTTCTAAAAATGAAAGAAATTAATGTGAAAGCTTGCTGGATTATTATAAAGTGAAGACCCTTATCACCACTGGCCAGGTCGAAGAGTAGAACCTCGCCGTTCCATGTGCTCCGTTCCAATCACAAAGTCCCGTCTTTCTCCAAAAGTAAACACCATTCTATTCCTTTTCTTAGTAGTGTCGCCTCAGTGTGTGCACACAGACAACAAAACTTTGTCTTGCTCATTTAAAAAAGCTGACATACATGTTAAACTGCTTTCACTCATAGAGTTTCCACCTAACTCTTTCTTTTTCCTACAACTTTGCCGTTGAAGAACCTGAGAGGTTCGGCCTCTATACTGCCACTCAGTCAATTGCACAATCTTGGGGTACTGTGATATGTTCCCGTGTCTACTGAATTTCCTACGATTTCTCAACTGGATTCAGAGGCCAGATCATATGATCAGAGGCTCAGTCAGATCAAACTCAGGTTTTATCCCTTTGGCAGGAGTATAAATGGCATTTTCTTCTAACGAGACATTGGTAACTTCTGGTTTTCCCATTTTCTGTGTTATAAGTTGTGGCTGTGTAGTGCCTGGATTCATTAATTCACTGCAGATGATTGCAAAATGATCATATTCTAAATGTTTAATTTATTTTTCATACTTAGCTAGAATTTTAAAAAATACAACAGATTTTTATTCAATTTATGTAAATAACCATATTATTATAAATTAAAAATAGTTTTTAGATTCTAGAGAAATTAGAATTATAAACATTTCAGGTTTTGCTCACAAAATATACTTTACCAAATTTGTTGTAAACAAATTTGAGCTATTTATAAGCTCAAAAGAAAAACAAAGCTCTTTTGACTCTGAAAGACAAAACTTTAAAAAAAAGTGTTTCAAACAAGGTAAATAAAAAAACCATCATTTTAGTCCTTTATTAGTTTAGTCCCACATAACTAATTCTTGTTTTGCTTGATGTTGGGCTAGCAATTCTCATGAATGCTAGAAGTTTTTATTTATTCCAATGGTATAATCTCTAAAGCTATCAGAAACCTCTTTATGAGTACTGGTCAGAGTCTTTACAGAAATTTCCTTAAAGAAGCAAATTTTATCGTGTAGCTGATTATAAACCACTTTTTGAGAAGAATCGCAGTGAAACAATAATTGTCTGTGGAAGACAAAGTGTTAGAATAACTACGGCTAATGACATTTGACAAGGACATTTGTTATTTCTATGGCATGCAATAATTTAACATAATCATAATTACTATTGATAACATATACTAAAATATATCAGAATTTTATGAGTCTCATAATTTTAGAATATATATTAATAATACATTTACACAAATGTAATGCAAAGAAAGTTAAACACTATTTCATATTTGACAATGCTTCCTGTATGATTTTAACATACTAAATAAACCTAATATAGCTTGGTTGAACCTCTAGGGGGTCTAATATACACAGTCAGTCTGAGGTTAAAAAAACTGAATTTAGAATTTGAAATGTTGGTTTAGGAAAGTTTGTCAAGTATCAAATGTCTAAAACACTTGCTCGAAACAGGATCACAGATCATGATAAAAGAATAGTCATTCATTTACCCAAGTAATAATGTAAATGTTTTAAAAAGCAAAATGTTTTACTCTGACAGAGAGGACTCTCAGTTTCCCAATCATAAAACCTAACGAAGACACCGAAAGGAAAACAAAGATGTCTCTCCCTCTCTCTGCTCGTTTTCTTCTTTCAGTGTACTCAAAAATTGAACAGAAATGTTTTACTGGCCGGGCGCGGTGGCTCAAGCCTGTAATCCCAGCACTTTGGGAGGCCGAGGCGGGTGGATCACAAGGTCAAGATATCGAGACCATCCTGGTCAACATGGTGAAACCCCATCTCTACTAAAAATACAAAAAATTAGCTGGGCACGGTGGCGCGTGCCTGTAATCCCAGCTACTCAGGAGGCTGAGGCAGGAGAATTGCCTGAACCCAGGAGGCGGAGGTTGCGGTGAGCCGAGATTGCACCATTGCACTCCAGCCTGGGTAACAAGAGCGAAACTCCGTCTCAAAAAAAAAAAATGTTTTACTATCTCTTATTAACACCACACAAAAATATTCTTCAAAAAAGAAATCCAAATTCTAACTTGTGTTAGTGTATAATTAATGTTCAAGCTAATTTTAATAAAACCTTATAATCAAATCTCTCTAATCTCAGTTTTAACAAGATTTTTATAAACTTTTTATAACCTCTTACAGTTTTTCTCATTTTCTCCAACTTTTTATATGCATTTAGTTTTATCGATTTTTAAATTTCTTTAATATAAACCAACTTTTAAAAGCTAAAATAGGGAAAAATCACTTTCCCTGTGACAAAAACCATATTTTCATGCCTTTTTATAACTTTTCTTTCTAACCAAAAGTCCTTTCTACTTTCTTTATATACTTTGCAAATGGAATTGTTTCTCTTATATCTAATAGTTTAAATTACATATATTCATTAAATGTTTCTCCTTTTTTTTGATTGCCTATTTTTTAAAATTATACTTTAAGTTCAGTATATGTGCAGAACGTGCAGGTTTGTTACATAGGTATACACGTGCCACAGTGGTTTGTGGCATTCATGCCCCCTTCATCTACATTAGGTATTTCTCCTAATGCTCTCTCTCTCTAAACCCCCATGCCCTGCTATCCCTTCATTCTACTTCTTGTTTTTTTTTTTTGTTGTTGTTGTATTAGAGTTTATATTGGAAAGACAAAAAAATGAGTGATTCATGATTTTACTTACCAGTTTTTATCGTAATTAATAGGTTTATTGTTCATTACAAGAACTTTTCAAAAATCAACATTATTCTAAACTCATAAATGTATTTCTTGGGTTTTATTCATAGCTTATATCATTTTTACTGTGGTTCAAATTATCTCATTTCAGCCCATAATAGCTTCTTCAAGTAGGTTTTTGGGTGCTTTTATTATAAAATATTTTTATTTTATAATTTTCTTGCTGGATTTTGTACAAAGATGTTCTAGGTTTCTCTTATGCTGCTCTAAACCTGGAATCGGCCATTCATTCAAGAAACCCTGGGTGCCGTTGGAAGTGAATTGTAAGGCAAGACAGTTATATGAATAACAGGAATGCTCATCACTCCTGGATTAGTCAGGCTGCTTCTTTCAAAAGAGATAGATAGGAAATATGCACTTATAATTTTTAAGACAAAAAACTTCAGGTATTCATACTGGTACTTTACATTCAAATCAGGTCTAAGGGTTTTTTTGCTTAATCTCTTCTCTGTTACATCTGTATCTCATTTCTTCCACACTGAGAGAATCTTAATTCTCCAAGACCCAGAGGATGATAGAATTAGAATATCTCATAATAATTAATTTGCATTTTAGCACATTATACAAACAGCAGTCTCAAGATAGAGCATTACCAATATAAATTTAATTACCAAAACTCATTTTTACATATGCTCCTCCCATTCTCTCCACATGGTTTATAGCTGTACTTCATCTCCATTGTCATTTATATTTACAAATAATCTAATGTGTCATGTTTACTGTCATCCTTGTGTCAATGTCCTTTTAGTTATTTTAATTAAGTAAATATTATTATCCAATCGAGTTACTACATTTCTGCATATTGATAATAGTTTGTTTCCGAGTTTTATAAATGGAAAGTTATTCTGTGATTTTGAATTTGAAAGTCTTTGGTCCATGTATACTTTTCTGGAGTATATTAAATGCTAGTTCACATTTTGCTAATAAATGAGTTGTTTTTAAAACATGTAATATTCTCTTTTACATCTTTTTTTTCTTTTTTGCCTAAATGCTCAAATAATGCTTTTTATTTAAAGTCTAATTTTATAAGAATATGTTTTCATAATGGTAATTCTGGTTCAGTAACCTCTTACACAATGCATTCCCTAATATGCAGTTTCAGTGTTTCGCTATTTTTTTTTAAATTTCAGAGTAGTATTTTTTACTTAAATTGTTAGAGTTAGTTCTGTTTCTTGACTTGGTTCTCTGCTTAGTGACTCCTATTTTCTGTATGCTAGATTTTATTAATCTTTTAAAACTCTACTCAAATCATTTTAAGATTTTTTAATCATTTAATTTCAAATTAAAATTTTAATTTCATCTATTTAGATTAAAGGGATTATATTTATAATTTTCTGGCTGTATTTTATACAAAGATGTTCTATTAGGAAGTCTATTTAGTTTGAGATGCTATCACCTATGTTTATTTGCTCTTATAATTTCTCTAATTTGATTCTTATTTCTAAACTAATTTATTTCCTATATTTTTATAAGGCATTATAGCTCTTTTCTGAGCTATAACATCATTTCTGAATTTTCCATTTCTAATTTATTTTATTATTTTATTTATTATACAAATTTGCTAATGTTTTTTAGTTTTCTGTGAAATAATAAGTTATGTTGTTATGTTCTGGAAACCTAGCCCCCCTGTATGTATGGATGCCATTTTTCTCTTTATTCTCTCTTTTTTCCCCTTTTCATAATTTTGTATAATCTGGTTTATTTTTGGTTAATCATTTTGATTAAATGTTTGTTTTATTCAGGTTTTGGAAGAAGCTATCGTTAGAGTTTTTCTAACTTTACAGTGTGATAGTGATACAAATCACTATAAAAACTTCTGCCAAGAATTATAAATCATCCTATTATAAAGACACACACACATGTATATTTATTGCAGTACTGTACATAATAGCAAAGATTAGGAACCAACCCGAATGCCCATCAGTGATAGACTGGATAAAGAAAATGTGGCATACATACACCATTGAATACTATGCAGCCATAAAAAAGGATGAGTTCATGTCCTTTGAAGGGACATGGATAAAGCTAGAAACCATCA